AGCAGAAAAGAATTCTGAAAAGGTAAAGCCCCCTATTACGTATTTCTGAAATGGCTACTCCTCCATTGTATAGCTGTAATTTTGCAAATAAGATGTTCGGTGACCGTCACTGTCCTGAACATATACAGAAACGTCAACATTTTAAACCACGACGACCCAGTGTAAAGCTTTGTACAATAGATTTCCATGGAACATTTTCAAGAGGGATGTAGATAGTTGTTAAGTCAGGGTATTAAGGGATATGGGGCAAGGGTGGGTAACTGGATTTGAGGTACAGATCAGCCATGATCTTATAAAATGGCGGAATAGGCTCAAGGGGCTGAATATCCTACTCCTGTTTCTATGTTTACCTTTGGAACTCCCTGCCTCAATCTTTTATAATCCATTAGGCTGACATATCTGTAAACCTCTTCCTAGGCTGACATATCTGTAAACCTCTTCCCATGCTTAAGAGTCTCCAGTTCCAACTGTTCAGATCTCAAACAGGTAGGGTTTCAGTTTGCAAGTTCTGGAGTGTGTAATCTCTCCCTCATTTGGGAGAAAAGAGATGGGGTAGGTGGAAGCAACTAATACGCCTCACTTGCCAGGGAGTCATCCTGGACAAGCAGCAGCAAAACTTGCCAGATAGCAATACCAATGGTAAGCTATGCAGTTATATCTGGTTAGACTATAGCAGTTATAACATCATTTTATTCATGTTTCTTATTTTGACCATTTGCTACTTTTCTCCATTCTCACTTGCATTTAATAGCATGTGCTGTGTTATGGTTCAAAGGATACCAGTCACACTTTAGGTGTCAGCTTCGGCTCAGATGGTAGCATGCTTGTCTCTGAGTCATAAGATTGTGGGGTCAAGCCCCACATAGGGATTTTAAACTCACAATGGGGTGCTGGGAGTATGCTGTATTGTTGAAGTTGCCATCATTCAGACAAGATGTTAAACCGAATTAGTGACTGCCTGTTCAGAAGGCCATTAAATATCCCATCCACTACAAAAAGAGAAGGCAGTTTCTCCCGATATCCTGGCTAACAAGCCCCCATGTAAAATTGCTCATTCACTTCACGGCTGCTTGAATAACATTGCCATGCGCAAATTGGATGTCGTGTACGTAAAATATACCTTATAGTAAACCCTGTGAAGTGCTTTGAGATTTTGAAGCGTTACCCTGACACGAAAGGCATGATATCTAATGCAAAGATTATTATTATTGTAGCTTTTCGTGTATGTGCCTAGTAGGTATCCATGGTGGGCATCACAGCCTAGCCTGATCCTGTCGTCAGCTAATATCCACATGTGTCCATTTTGCAGCAGGGGGTCTCAGGGTCAGGCACTGCGATTGAATTTACTTATCTAGTTCAGTATGCTGAGGCCAATTGCAGCCTCTTTCTTGCTGCGCTGTTTGGTTAATGTAGCAAAGATTGGGCAATGCCCAACCTTGTATGTAGTGCACACAGGGGCGTTCCCTACTGTATTTAATGGGAGTGTCCTGAAAATGTAGGTGGTTGGTCAACTTGTCCACACTCCCCTAAAAGGGGGAGGGGGGCGGTGTCAGGGAGGCAAATCCAAGACCCACCTTGTGACTGCATCCTGCAAAGCGCAGAACAACCCAGCGAAAGGGAAGCCTTAGTACCTCCACCAGAGGCAACCCCGCCACGACCCCCTGCCCCCTTCTCCGCCACAAGAGGCTGGGCCTGTTGGTCCTGTAACAAGATAATAATGAGTGGCGCCTTTCTTTATGTCACAGGGAGATAATGAGATAAGTGTAAATATATATTGCATCTACAAATAAATATACATTTTGTTTCTTTAAAAAATTAGCAAAGACTGAGCATTAAATCTGTTATTTTCTGAGGCTTTATAGTTCACTTCTACATTGGGCATTGGCTTTACCAATCCAGCTATTCAATGTTTCTTTGGGATAAAATATTCTACATGATTTTGGAAAGCAGCTGATTAGAATATTAAGTGCGAAGTCCTTACCATTTCTTCCAAAGGTACTTCAGTACGACGACTTGTTTTATTAACTAATGCACATCAACTGAGACGTATGCGGACTGCTATGTTTTGTAGTGTCGCTCTTTCATTCAAGCTATCTTTTCAGTTTGAATAGGTTTGATTGATTATATCACAAGTGAAAAATGCAATGTGTGATACGATCACATAGCAGAGAATTGCAGTCAGACCAATTGAAAATTTATTAGCTGACCTTCCCTCCAAAATTCGGTACACTTTTTTTCTTTGAATTGTTGAAAGCTTCAGAAATGTGTTGATAATTTGTGTTTAATATTGCACCGTTCACGTCAGAGGGACATCTCAAAACACTTCACACAATTTTACTGTAAAGTGGACTGACTGTATTTTGCAGGCGAACACATCAGCCAATTTACACATATCAATATCCCATGAACAGTCATGAAATGAAACTCCAATTTTTTGTATCTAGGCAATTGTTGGTTAAGACTCTCGTTTTCTTTTCTAATAGTGTCATGAGACCTTTACCATCCAACTAAACAGGCAGAAAGCACCTCAGTTTAAAGTTCCAAAGAATGGAATTATCACCAGTGATGATTATCACATCACAGATTGCATTTTTTAATCAAATAATTTGAAAGAAATGTTAAACCTTTCACATCTGACGACTATTGAAAAGAGCTATCCAAACAGCATAATATGATGTTGAACTGAAATTCTACTAACATTATGATAACTAATAAATGGCAACAGAATAAATTTTCAGAAGAGGAACCATGCAACAACGCTTCACAAAAATCTGACCAACATGAGCATGTTATTGGAGCGTCTTATTCGGCAGATAAAAGTCAGAACCTTTCTTGGTTGTGTGGGAGTTGATACAATGCTGCATTAAGCTACAAAGACACTTCCTTCAGAAAAAAATCACAAAGGTTAGATTTAGAGCACCGATGAACTCACTGTGGCCAGAGCAAAGCCAGAAGCATTATGGCCAGTGGAAAAAGGATAATGAACAAGTGGTGCCTTCCCATAGCCTGCCAGCTTGCCACATCACAGACAAGTGTCACTTCCTTTCTGCTCTACATGAACCCTGTCGATCAAGAAAGGCCCTATGTTTTACAGTGGGTTGTAAAACTGCTGTTCATATAGGCCCAGACCAAGCAGGCCCAGCATGTCTCCCTCATTTATCATTGCTCAGCCTTCATTACTGAGGCTCATCCATCACTGCCTGCTTAAACTCAGATGTGAGGAACCTGTTCTTTATTGCTTGCATTTCCCTGCATCATGGGACCCTCTATCAGCAGGTCTCTTTGTTCTGAGGCCTAGTCAGGAAATGTGCTTTTTCCTTAGATTTAGTTCACAAACAAGAGTCTAGACTGGAATTCCCTTAGAATTCCTATTGACTTTGCTTAATGGAGGGGGCCTTAATTTATGATCTTTGCCCTGTCCCCATTATGGAAGAAAATGGAGATGTTTAGATTCATATTTATACTTGTAAAAAGGGAAAATTCAGTTTTTCACGATGCCATTTTTCAAGAAATGACCTGACTACCCATTATTACACCCATGAATAATTAGGCTTTGAAAAGGTATTTACTCTAATAATACCCCGAACTGACAAAAGGACCATTGTGCTAGTGGGAAATCGGATTAAAAATAACAGCTTGCTTTTGAAATCATTATAGCCTCTATTATATGCTCAAAAATGAGATCACCAGGTTCAGAAAGAAAAATATATTAATTTTCCCCCCAAAACACAATGAACAGCTAGCTTATTTATTCATTTCAGCTATTATTTTAACAGAAGAATTCTCAATAACTAACTTCTGATTTAAAACTGCGGAGAGCTGAGTCCTTGACTCAGATCCGCGTGCTGTCACTTTGAAAGCATTGAATTACAGCTAAAGATTTGGCAAGAGTTGATGTACTCAGTGTTGAGTGTAAAACACTTCTGCGGGTTGACATTTGATTTGAGATCCACGTCTCTCACAGAGGACCGGAGTGTTTACTATTATTACTTTGTTAGAAGTTTTGAAAAAGTGGACGTTGCTTCTATTAATTGCAAAATGACCTCAGCACTGCTCAGTAAATTCATAATTGACAGGAAAATAAGTAAGTTGTATAAAATACTGATGCTGTGCAATTTTCTTGACACTGAGACCTCCCCATGCCTGACACAAGAAATAAAACATAATGCTGTAATTTTAAAAATGTCAATCTATATTCTGGTTCATTTACTTAAGTGACTTGGTTTAATAATTACTTCATTGCCTCTTTAATGTGTTATTCTGGTGAGCCTCAGATACGCTGGCCCTGTATTGCTCCTGTGTATCAATCAATCACCGCATAACACATTTTTAAACAAAATAGCGTAGAATTAAGTATTTTTAAATATAATTGCCCTAACAACTTTGTTTAATATTGCGGCCCTAAATGTAAAGCAAAATTCTGGTAGTGATTTCAAGGAGACGAGTCATGTGATACGAGGATAGAATCAAAGGAGTCCTGCAGTGTTTTGGTTAGAGCTCTCGCCTCGCAAGCAAGAGGACCCAGGTACGATTCCCGGGCAGGGCAAAACCCTAGGAAAGTTTCCTTATTCCATACACCTCTGTTTACCTGCCACATTTTGTCCACAAAATATACACTTAATTCACTTTACAGAAGCACTTTGAGACATCTCAACAATGTGATAAGGTGCTAAATCAAATGCAAGGATTATTATAGGTTTTTGAACTGCAATGTAAATTCAGGTTGGGGCAACATTAAAGTACAGTAATATCATAGGAGGTCACCTTGAAACAAGTGCATATCAGTGTCACTATATGATATGATTTCATATTACCATGACTGATAGAATACAGCACTAGTGATACAGCAATGATCTGTATTGTTTATTCATCAATTGCCAGTTTGTCTTCAAAATAGCCTTCACAACTGACATTGAGATAAACTGAGGAGGAGGATAAGCAGCAGGTTACAGCAGTGAAAGAAATTCAGTTTAAAACAAAATCAGTGTGGATTACAGTACCTTTCTCACAGATAGTTTATGCTTATGACTTATGGCTGCAGCTTGTACCAGTTGGTCTTTGACGAATTTACACCGATAGACTATGTACTGTGAATTAGAAATACATTTATTTTGACATTGAGAAAAAACATAGTGCTATAATTTTAATGACAGCAATTTATATTCATTGCACAGTACTATTTATTAAGCCCTTTCAGTACATGGCTGCTTCTCAAAAATCCATCTGCTCCTGTCATGAAGGATCTGAGTGACTGTGTGGAGAGAACAATTTGGACAGACCTGCTTTACTGAAAGATTTGTTAGCAGGCCAATCACCCCAATCCTTGCCAAGCTCCACTGTCTCCCTCTCTCCCAAAGGATTGATTTCTTCCTTGTTCACATATGTAATCACGATTACATTGATTACCTCTGCCTTGCTTTGCGGCCAACACTGTTGTAAAGTGATCAGAGACATTATTCTATGTGATATTTGTTATTGTTATCTCAATGGTCAATGTAAGCTTTTCTGTTCTTGCGCAAGGAGAAGCATTGGTGAAAACATGCCCACAGCCAGTGTCATTCAGGAAGGATAGTTCTTGTAGAGCTAATATGTCATACTCCTCTGATGCCACAACGACTCCTGCTCTTGTCTTTAAATGCAGTACCTTCGATTTCTGTCCTTGAATCATCAGGTTCTGCGGCCGAAACCCTCGGCCACACATTTTGTCACCTCCCGCCTCGACTATTCCAATGCCCTCCTTGTCGGTCTCCCCAACTCCGCTATCCACAAACTAACAATTCAGAACTATACTACCAATATATTCACCCTCCTTAAACTCCCCCCATCACACCAGGCTCTACCAACTCCCTATCACAGAACGGATCGACTTCAAGATCCTCATGCTTGTCTACAAATCCCTTCTCACCCTGGTACCTCCCTACCTTTCTGACCTGCTGGCTGTGGCCTCCTGCTTGTTCCTCATCCTCCCTGCTCCACCGTCGGCAGCCATGCTTTCAGCCACAACGACCCAAAACTTTGGAACTGTTTCCCTCAATACCTCCGCCTTGCCCTCTCCTTCCCCAATATAAAATCACGCCTGAAGACCTTCCTCTTCGACCATGTTTACGGCCACCTCCTCCCTCCCAGGCGCGGGTGAAGCTCCACATCCGTTAAGCGCTTCAGGACACTACACCACATGAAGGCTGCTATATAAATACAATATAAATTACACTTGTATAGCGACTTTCACGTTGGGAGGAAGTCCAAAGTTATTGTTGGTATTCTAATCAGCAGAAGCCAGGTTGGAGTCAAAATGTAACATTCTCAAACTGCATTTCAGTTGCTAATTGTAACATCAGGTTTGCAAGTTTTGAAAACAGCAGTTTGTGAAATCTCAGCTCAACCTCAAAGGGTGAAAATTATTCTTATTGTTAAAATAGGCCACCGAGCAAAACATCAGCAAAGTTACAAAATTCATAGTTAGCAGATCTTGCCATGAATCTCACAATCTGAAACTTCAAACCAGGATTTGCAATTAGCAACTCAAATCCGGTTTATGAATATTACATTTTCCCATTAAGGGATTCGGAAAAGGTTCCTGCTGCTATACGACATGCAGATGTTGCAAAGAGAGAGAATTCAAACCTCAAGTGTGACTCACTTAGCCCAATATAGGATGTGTAATAGTGCATATAGGCATAACACATGGTTAGGATTAGGAAACAGAAACATATCCCATAGCACACTGATTAAACCATAATATTTTTAAAACTTAAGTTATATTTTAATTGCAAAATATTAGTTTTATCACTATTTTATTGCTTTTTTAAAAGGAGAAATGCAATCAGCAACAACCTACACTTTAGCCTGCTGTGACAATATTTTGAAAATAAAAAAAGCTGTCACGTGCCTGTTTGTGTAAGTAGGGGGATAGTAGGAGCGCCCCTCTTCGCTCCCTCCCTTCCCTCCCCTCACCCTGACCATTTCTCCCCTGCTCGGGTCCCGACCCAACTGTCCAGCGCCTTGGGACGTCCTCCCGACGTGAAAGGTGCTCTATAAATTAAATGCCGTTGTTGTTGTGTCACTGTGTGTAAAACATGCAGTTAACAACGGTTCCATTAGGTCTGGGAGAAGTTTGGAAAACATTGTATTTAAAATTTCTCACACCCATCCGTTAATCTGCTAAATCTTTAAGATGTTCCACGGTCATTGTCCCAAAGACAATGGCCAAGTTCTTTCACACCTTGAATTGAATCAGTACTTTGAAATGTCTCCAATAATGCTTAGATCAAAGAGATTTGTCTGGTGTGGGGAGTTGACCAAAACTCAAGCAAAGTGTTGGCTAATCTAAAAAATGATTTATACCTCATTGTTTGTGATTGTGGAGTCCTCTAGCTCAGTGAATAGAGCACTCGCCTCGCAAGCGAAAAACCTGAGCTCGATTCCCATCAGGGCAAAATGTTGGGCAAATTTCTTTACTCCACACGCCTCTGTTTACCTAGCAGTAAGCAGAAACCTGGTTGTTAACCGATTGGCAGATTGCTTTTCTGGGGGTAGTAATTCCTTTAAAAAAATTGGTCACTTCAATTCACGACTGTTTGTAGGACACTGCTGTGTGCAATTGGCTGCCGCGTTTCGCTCACAAAATATACTTTCAATTCACTTTATAATATATTCTGTGAAGCGCTTTGAGACGTCTCGAAGACGTGATGAAGCGCTATATCAAATTATTATTATTATTGTTTCTGTTCAGTACTGAAAGGATTACACTTTAAAATAGCCAGTACAGACACAATGGGCTGAATGGTCTTCTTGTATCCTGTAAATTTCTATGGCTCTATGTAAAACTTCCCGTTATTGCTATTTTGTTAAATTATTTTACTTTTAAAGTTTGTGCCTGTACATGTGAAGTGCTTTGAGGCGTCTTGATGATGTGAAAAGGTGCTGTACCAAATGCAAGGATTATTATATCTATATCTAAATTTATAAGATTTGCTTTTAATTATTTAATTGGAAAAGGAGCTGATGTGATTGCTGATATATTTATTTACGTGGAGACTGAAGAGCAATTTTCTGTGGTTTTATTGTCGTCCAACGTTAGCCCCAGAATAAGATCAGAAGGAGCAAAGCCGAATGCAACTGAAGGATTCACTGTGAAATGAGATTCATATAGGATAATGATAATAATAACCGCATGCATTTGATATAATGCCTAATGACTTTCTTTTGATGCCACAAACCAACTTGGTCATCAGTTGAGTCAAAATGACCATATCTAATGGAACTTCGGGTTCTCCTGGTACACACTGAGACATCCTACCGACATGAAATATACTACATAAATGTATATTGTATTGTACGTATCCTTGCTCGCTTATTTACCCTTGTGATTAGTTATGAATATCTGCTTGAGGCTCTGGATACTGCTATTGCCTCTCCTCCAACTGCTGGACATCCACCAGAGCTGCAAAACTCAAAATAATAATACACAGACTGGCTTCCTCGTTTGCCTACAAATACAGTCACTACAGTCACTTTAAAGTAACTAAACTGTTAGCCTGGCCCTGTTGCTCGTGTGCTCGCCTCTTGAATCAGAAGATTGTGGGTTCAAATCCTACGTTGGAACTTTTGAGCTCAGAATCTAGGCTGATGCTCCACTGCAATGCTGGGGGAGTCCTGCATTGTCAGAAATTCCATCCTTTGAATTAAACATTAGTCTGATGTCTTATCCACCTGTGCATAATTTGAACAGAGAAAGGAGTCTCTCCAGGTGCCCTGACCAACAATGCCCCAAATAAATTTGGTCATTCACTGTTTGTAGGACATTGCAATGAACAATTTGGCTATCCCATTTGCCTACAAATAATTAATCACAAAACATTACAGTAAATCCTATGACCAACCTTTCAGACCTTTCAATGATGTGATAAGATCCTAAATCAATATGTAAGAATTATTTATTTATTTAGTTGTTTGGTTGTTTGTTTATTCTTTTGTTTATTTATTATCTTAGGCTCCGTGACCCTTTTCACCCCCATCTTCGTCCAGCTCGACCGGCTCCCCCAGAGGATAGAGTTCAAAATCTTTGTCCTCGCCTTCAAAGCCCTCCATGGCCTTGCTCCTTCCTACACGTGTGACCTGCTAATGCCATATCAACCCGTCTGCTCACTCCGTTCAGCAGACCCCTGGCCTACTCCACGTACCCCGTTAGGCCCACTCCACCATCGCCGATCAGGCCTTCAGCCTCTCTGCCCTACCTTTTGGAACTTCATCCTGCAGTCCTTTCGCCTTGCATCCTTCTTTGCCTCTCCTCTTCGACCGTGCTTTCGGCCACCCTCCTACCCCTACCCTCCCTGCCCTCCACCCCTCCTGATCAGTGCCTTGGGACATCTCCTGACTTGAAAGGCGCTATACAAATGTAATTTGTTGTTGTTGCTGACCTGAAACTTTGAAGGAACAAATTCATAGAATCATAGAATTATACAGTACAGAAGGAGGCCAGTCGGCCCATCATGTCTGTGCCAACCCTTTGAAAAAAGCTATCCAATTCAATCTCACTCCCCCGCGCTCTCCCCATAGCCCTGCAAACTTGTCCTCCCCAAATAAATATCTACTTCTCTCTTAAAAGCTGTTATCGAATTGTCGATACAGTGAATAGTGACAGGCACACAGAGTTGCCAATTTGACAGCAGTGAGAGTCCATAAATAGTTATGAAGCGAATGACAAATTAGCCTTAAGATTCTTCTTTTAATAAATATTATAGAATACTAGAAAGGACATTGAAGGAGAGAAGGCCATTCGGTCCAGCAAGTCTATACTGGTGACACTTCTTCCACTGGAGTTAACTGTTAATTCCAAATCTCTGCTTTATCCCCAGTGTATGTCACAGGATGGCAGACATTAATACTCCTGTATTAATATTGTGCCTATGAAATCTTAACCAAAACAGTATTTTTTTCATTTTATTAGCAGTTTCACTGTAAAGTTCTCCACAAATTTTAGTCTGCTTGAAATAATCGTGTTATGGCTATGTGTTAAATTAAGACCACTTCTACCACCCAAATTCAAATTTATGCACTGTTCAACAAAACACACAAATGCCATTTAACTCTAAAGAAACAAATAACAATTTTAGAGCAGTATTTCATGCCAAAATGTCTCAAAGCACTTCACAATTAATTATTGTCAAGTGTGATTACTATTTTTGGCTACCACATTTGTAGGCAAACGTGGCAGCCATTTGCATCAGGAAGGTCCCACACACCGCTGTAAGGTAAACACTTGCAAACAATTTGAATCAAATATTTATAAAATGAAATGCTTTAATTCTCCTTGCTCTGCTGTCTCCCTCCACCTCCACCCCCCACCCCCCTCCTCTTTGTTTTTATTGTAACTGGTATCTTAACTACTTTTAATGATAATCGTTGAATTTGATTTAGCGCTGTATCACATCGTTGAGACATCTCAAAGTGCTTCACAGAATATATCATAAAGTGAATGGACTGTGTACTTTGTGTACTGACACATGCAGAAACCCATCACTATAATTAATAAGAATATCCAAACCAGAGTTCAATGCATGTCACCCACACACAGAAATTTCTGTGTTTGAAATGGAATGCAAATTCTCTTAGGCACGGGTTTGCAAGAGCCAAGGTCTGTGATCCCAAAGTGTAAGTTGGAGTACTGCTGGAGTTTAACCACCTAAAATCACATGGCTTGTCATTGAAAGCACTTTCTGGCAAGCTTTCCCACTGCTTGTCCAGCTAGGGCCACCCTAAGCTTTAGAGCTTAGGCATGCAGGGTTAACAGGAGATGAATGGGAAGAATCCCGACCTCGAATGACTGGTCTGCCCTTCCAAGTCCTGCCGTTGAGCCAGGCAGGCTGGTCTTCCATCAGCAGTGCCTTGGAATACTGCAGACCCACCTGGCTCAGTAAACGATTTATAACAATCCCCACAGAGGATTGACTCAATTCTGACCTTCTTTTGGCAAGTTCAACTTCAAGGAGACCCCACTTACAACAACAACAACAACAAGATTGCATTTATAGAGCGCCTTTCACGTTGGGAGGACGTCCCAAGGCACTGGACAGGTGGGTCGGGACCCGGGCAGGGGGGAAATGGTCAGGGTGAGGGGAGGAAAGGGAGGGAGCGAGGAGGGGGTAGAGAGTCGAGAGGGGAGCTGAAGGCACGATCAAAGAGAAACTTACCTCCTCCCCAAAGAGGAAGCGAGGTCCCCTTGAGGTAAACTGCCTCCAAGGTGACATGCTGATTATTCATTAACATAGAAGTAAGATCATAAAATTGTTATACTTTTGTAACAAGGCTCTGTACTCCAAAGTACAAGCAGCCCATGTTTGCAATACCTTGTAATTCCCCAAGCAATCATGTCCAGAGAATAGCCTTCCCCTCACTTTTCCCCCACACCCCCTCCCACCGGAAAGAGCCAGTTAAACATTAAAACCAAAGTCACTTGAGCCACTCTCATGCACCTCCTAGTGGCCAGGTACAGAATGACACAGCTGAGAGATCTGCAAAATGTATCCTTCCAGACATTACGAGTTGGCAGATGATTCAAGGCTCTCGGGCAAAAAAAATCTCAAGTTGTAAAGTTAACCGACAAGAACAATATGCACAACATCCAGCATTTGGCCCCTATAGAAACTACATTGTTAATGTCACTATGTTCAGTGACCCTGAAGACTTTTTTTCACATAGAATTACATAGACTACAGCACTGAAACAGGCTATGTGGCCAACTAGTAAGCGCTAGTGTTTTATACTCCATGTGAGCCCCCACTCATCCCCTCTCTATCCCCCTCCCATACCCATATGTGCTTCTCCCTCATGCATTCATTGTGCTTCTTCTTAAATTAATTGATTCTTTCAGTTTCAACTACATAGTAGTGAGTTCCACATTCTCACCACCCTCTGGGTAAAGGAAGTTCATCCTAACCCCTATTTTAGATCTGATCATGGCTTTCTTATATTTATGATCCTTGTTATGGACTCACCAACAAGTGGAAACAGCCATTTATAACCACATTATTGAACTTATTCTCTATCAGATCACATCTCTAAATGCCTCATCACCAGAAAAAAAAGTTATAACTTGTTGAGTCTTTCTTGAAAGTTGATTCCTCTCATCCTTGGTAAGAAAATAGCTGAATTTATAATAGGGCTCACGCAAAACAAAAAGCAGAAAGTTTTCTACCCCTTGTCCCATGACAACAAAGCTTCATAAAGGATTTTTGTTTGCCGAACCACGCTTATATTTAAACTTGTACCTTCTGGTACTTAAGTATGTATTTTAGTCAAATAGCATAAATTGCAAAATGCAATGAGATGATTATTTTCCAGATGAATCATTCAGAAAATAGAAATCATTAACTTTCTGTGCTGCAGTGACGGTGGCACACTTGATAAGTGCTCGTCATTTGAATAAATATTGTTTTGGAAACTAGAGGTGAGACTTGCTGTATTTAATGAGAAACACTTGGGATTTCTTAAGCTCTACTCAATTTCTTTAATGAAAGAATGATATAGACCATGACCTTCCTCCTTGGAATGCAATGAGATGTTAATTTTGAAGGTAAAGTAGATATCATTGTGGTCTAATTCATTGGTGCTTTTATTTATCGTTGCATAAAAATATTAATTTATATAATTTGTTTGCTAATACAGTATAAACATACGCAACTTTGCAGATGAATAAGCACATAGCTGAATTTATAAGAGGAGCTACACAAAAAAAGGAACGTTTTTTTCTACCAAAACACCATAAACGATTTTACTTTGTTGAGCACACTTATATTTAAACTTGTACATTCTGATGCTTAAATATTTATTTTAGCTAAACAGTATAAATTTGCTAAACTGCGCTGAGATTATCGCCTTTCTGATCTTCTCATGAATGTTAAATCACCACTTTGGTTTTCACTGCAATTTGCACCTTTGAACTGTAGAGGGCCCAAGAACTACAAAGTTGACACAGGTCAATGACATTTGTCTTTGCACTATGAAGATTGCTTTGGGGGATTACTCTGTGTGTGTTCCAAGAGATCATGAACTCACGCTATTCGTACTTTGTGGTATAACTCTGCTGATCCTAGGCATTTGACAAATCTTTCGATCTATCAGGTTTGAACTTGAAATTATTCATGTTCATTGAACATTATTCTTCTTTTATTTTTTCATCACATCAAAATTCGATTGCATCAATATCTTCACTCACAAGATCCATTTAGGATATCAAATAAGCTGTATCATTTAATATCTAATTTACTATTTCTCGTGAAGTCCTGTAGCTCAGTGGTTAGAGCACTCGCTTTGCAAGCGAGAGATCTGAGTTCAGTTCCAGGCACAGGGCGAAACCTTGGGCAAGTTTCCTTACTTCACACACCTAATAATAATCCCTCCAAAACAAAAAACAATAATAAATTGGTCATTTTCAATCCACGACTGTCTGTGGGACACTGCTGTGCGCAATTGGCTGCCGCGTTGGCTCCACAAATGTACAGTCAATTCACTTTACAGTGTGTTCTGTGAAGCGCTTTGGGACGTCCTCCCGGCATGAAAAGCGCTATATCAAATGCAAGGATTATTATTATTATTATTATTACTAGTTGGTGCCATACTCTCAACTGATATAAATTATATCAACCTGATATAAGTTATATAGGATCTGTCCACTCCCTCTGTTCTTGCGGGCTCCTGCCCACTCTACACCCCCACGCATTTGATATAGCGTCTTATCATATCTTTGAGACATCTCCAAGAATATTCTGTAAAGTGAATTGATTGAATATTTTGGGGGCGAAACACGGCAGCCAATTGCACACAGCAGTGTCCCACAAGCAGTCAAGGACTGAGTGACCGAATTATTATATTATTGTTTGTTTGAGGGGATTATTGCCCCCGGAAAAGCGATCCAGGGTGAAACCATAGGCAAATTTCCTTACTCCACATGCCTCTGTTTACCTAGCAGTAAGTGGGAACCTGATTGTTGCTGAAGTCATTAGGAGAAACTCCCTTCTCTTTTCAAGTAGTGCCATGGGATAAATAATAAATAATAATCCTCGCATTTGATATTATAGTGCCTTGTCACATCTTTGAGACATCTCAAAGCGCTTCACAGAATATACTGTAAAGTGAATTGACTGTAAATAGCACCTTGGGACATCCTCCCAACGTGAAAGGCACTTTACAAATGTAAGTTCCGTCCTCGGCCTCCATCCACTCTAGAAACATCGAATACAGAGTCAAATAGTTAAAAAAAAGCAAACTGCGAATTGCACATGCAATTGGTTCGCGGTTATTTTACTGCCATGGAAACGACAGCTTAAGTAAAATCAGAATAAAGATGTCTGCAAAAGGACGTTGATCTTGGGATTGGCAGTGGAGACAGCACCGAGGAACCTATACTGTGTCCCAGTAATACCTTTAACATCTACATGAACAGGAGATAGGACCTCGATTTCAAGTCTCATCCGAAAGACGGCAAACTTTGTCACTTTGTGAGCTTCTACAAGTCAAGAAAAAACAAGTGCACCAAAACAACACAAAGAACTGAAAATCTCATACTCCTCAGGAATATGAGCACCAAAGTAGTATAAAGTAGAATAAGAGTATGAGCGTTAATTCTACCTCACAAAGCACTCTACATGCTATCCCAAGGCTCTGCCCAAAAAGAGCACAAATCGCAGCGGCCAAAACAAAACTGCACAAATACTCCAGGAAATCACAACACCAAACCGCTACAGACAATGTCAATACAAAATCCATCAGTTCCACCCCATCAGTGGGAGAAACGAGTCTGTCTCCTCACTGTACAAAAGAGTGGAATTCAGAGTTGCAGTGTAGTGAGGTAGAGATGGGGTTTAGGTGTTGCGGAAAGCACTATCACAGACCTGGCAGTCGGGAGAAGCAGGGAGGTGTGCCCCACAGTTTGAGAACCTCTGGCCCAGGTTATGTGAGTTTAACATCCTGACAGAATCAGTTTGTATATGCAGATCTCCTCTACTTGCCTTTAAGTAAAACTTTGTTAGGATCCTTACGTTACATTAAATAAATTTTACTCTGGCGTATCATTATAACCAATTACTGTATCTACTAGTTTTAGTCAATGAGTGCGAGAAATTCCACCTGGGGTTTAATTAATTTAACATATCAGAACATCCAGGATCCTTGAATATAGCTTTAAAAATAACAAAAAATTGCATTTATACAGCTCCTTTTATGTTGGAAGGACATTCCAAGGCACTGAAATTTTGAGGAAGCCTTCTGTAAGTTCTTTTATGAGCTACAGAAAAACAACTTAAAAGTTTAGACTAAATTCAATAATTTGCCAAAATCTGGGCGTTCTAAAATATAATGGTAAAAGAGTGAAACCTCTTAAACGGAAAAGAATACTGCCGAGCTGACACACTGAACAAAGTTTTACATTCAAGATAATCCTACTTGCCTTGTTTTTTGAGTGAGTCATGGAGTGAATATAAATATTTTTCTTTGTGGTTCATTCATCAATTAATTCGCCAAATGGAATTTGTACAAGAAGAATTGTGATTTTAGTCTTGTACTACAGCCCATAAGAGTGGTAGTGTTATGGTAAAATAAATGTGTATGAAAAATTTATTGCAGTAAGTAGGTTATAGTGTTTGTACATTGTGAGGCAAATTTTATACTTCAGGGTAATGTGTTTAAATTTAAGATGTAAATTCCTGTTCACTATCTTCTTGGTGAATTTTCCAACCAGGAGAAGGCAGAGTTGAAATAGGTGCTCCTAGAAGAAGTACGCACTTCCTACATGTTCTGATGCCTGGAAATTTCCATGTGTAGGTGGGACTCATGGATTTCTCAGCCAGTTTGTCAATGATGGGGCAGATAGGGTGGACGACATGAAGCAGGTAAGTGCTTGCTTAGTAGGGTTGAAGCAGATCATAGAGGTAGGGTGGGGGGAGTGCCGAGACTTCCAAAAGTCATTTGAAAATAATTCCTGATTCTGTCTTAGTGAGTACGTGATCCTCTTAGATCTTTCAACTATAATCCTGTAGCTCAGTGGTTATAGCACTCGCTTTGCAAGCGAGAGACCTGAGTTCAATTCCAGGCACAGGGCGAAACCTTGGGCAAGTTTCCTTACTCCACACAGAGCCTAATAATAATCCCTCCAAAAACCCAAAACAATAATAAATTGGTCATTTTCAATCTACGACTGTCTGTGGGACATTGCTGTGCGCAATTGGCTGCCGCGTTCGCCCACAAATATACAGTCAATTCACTTTACAGTGTGTTCTGTGAAGCGCTTTGGGACGTCCTCCCGACATGAAAAGCGCTATATCAAATGCAAGGATTATTATTATTATAATCGAGTGCTCCACTCACAAAGCAACCAGACCATCAGCATTATACTCCCTCAGCATAAATACT